CTCTTGGGAGGCTGTAAGGGCGGATCACTACGAGTCCGATGTAGTAGTGAGACCCTGAACACCCTGTATACCCTTCCCCAAAAAATACCAAAAAAGAAAAAAAAAAGTGATATTGGCTGTAGGAGTTTTCGAGCCGCCCTTTATCAGGTTATAGATGCTGGCATTTACGTTGTGTATGCTAAACTTTCATCGTTAATATATCCAGTTGATCCCGGCACTGTTTTTGCATGGATTAAGAGAACTACCTCGTTCTTCTATGGAGTCATTGAAATGCTCTTCCATGTATGGTACTCGTATTGCAAGTGGAAAAAGTTTCCGGTAGCCTAGGAATATAGAAAAAGAAGAACCACTGCAAGAGAGCCGCAGGTGGGTCTAGGGAAGACCCTCGCAGGGTGAAATGCCGAGAACTGTGTATCTAATTTTAATGTGACGAGATCATCTTTCCGCCTCATCCAACCTATGAACACCTGCATCAGGTCACCGTAGGCCTACTGTCCATCCATCTCGGATGTAGGAACAGCAGGTATTGTTTGAAGACCAAAATAATGCCATTGTTTCATCGGGTTTGGTGCCCTTGGCATAGAAGTACTGCTACAAACAGTCCTTCTGGGTAAAGCTAACAAATATGTAAAACTGGACTAGTGCGTGTTGAAGAGGAGTTGAAGAACATATGTAACACACACACACACACACACACACACACACAGATTTATTTATTTATCCCCTAAGACTGTTTAAGGGGCCAGGGAAATAGTTCAGTAGAATAAGTGCTTGCCTGGCAAGCGCAAGGGCCTGAGTTCAATCCCTGGTTTCGCAAAAAAAAAAAAAAAAAAAAAAGATTTTAAAACTGGTATTGTCTCTTACATGATAAGAGGCACTAATGAACCTTGAGTTAGCTGGGAGGTTTTACCTCATTTAATTTATTAAATGACTGTGTAGCCCTTTGTCATATCAGATTCTTTTTAAATTCTGTTTATGTTTTTTTCTTTCAGGAAATACATTTGTTTCTCTTAGTGGATTTATTGGACTGAAGTCATTAATAATCTTTCGTTATCCACTTGTCTTTTTAAAGTATATGCAACCTGCAATGATATCTCACTTGGCATTGAAAATATTTTCTGCAATTTGAATCTACTTAATTTCATTCAGATTTGCTTGGGGATTCAGACAATTATTCTGTCTTTGAAAATATTCTAGCGGGGCATGTGGCTCATCTCTGTAATTCCAGTACTTGGGAGGCTGAGGCAGTGTGATCACTGTGAGTTCAAGGCCATTCTGGGCTGTGTAATGAGTTCAAGGCCATCCTGAACTGCATAGCAGGTCTTTTGTCTCGAAAAGACAAAAAAAGAAAAAACATTCTTATTTTACAGTTGAAGAAGATTTTGGGAATGAATAGAGGAAGTAAAACAGGGTGAAGTTAATCAAAGAATGCAGTAATAAGAAAATATTCGTACATGTGCGCTTGAAACAGGTGGTGTCCTGTTGTTACTGTGGTATTACTTGTAATTTTTTCTTTTCTCCTCTGAATTATTGAGTAGCCAAGTGTGTTGGCACATTTCTATAATACCACTTTAGAACCTGAGGCAAGAGTTTTGCCTTAATTTCAGAGTCACCCGAGGTTATATAGTTTGTTGAATGCCAGCCTGAACTAATCAGTAACACCCTGCCTCGAAAAAATAGGACAAACAAAAAACAAGAGCAAATTTAGAGAATAAGAAACCTCTTACTCTACATGTGCATTTTTCCATTTTATTTCTCTATTTTTTTTATTTTTTTCTTTTCCTTTCTTTCCATTGTTCCCTTTCTTGGCACTTTTCAGGTCCATAAGTGTTTAGCAGTGTTGCAGGCTCATGATGGATTGACTTACCTTCCTCTTCTAATGACCTGTATTCCCATTAAGAGAGTTTTTTTTTTTTTATTTGTAGGACAGGGTGTATAGGGTCTCACCGCGTAAATCAGACTCATAGTGATCCTCCTGTTTACAGCCTCCCAAGTGCTGGGATTTGCGCAGGCCACCATGCCCATTCTCAGTCGTCTCAGCGTGCCCTGGGGGTGGGGCCAGCATGGCAGGCCAGGGGAATCAAACTTCAATCCACTAACTGAGTCTTTATCAGAGATCTACATTGCCTTTCATTACTGTGACCACTGCAGATTCCCTCATTCATGGTAACATCCACATGTTTGGCTGCATTTGTGCTTTCATAATCAAGTAGATTCTCTGACTGCTTAAGTATAGAAAGAATCATGGAAATAAAATCATGTTAAGCAGGGCCTGGGAGATGGCTCACTAGAGTACGTGCTTGCCTGGCAAGCGCAAGGGCCTGAGTTCAATCCCTGTTCAAAAAAAAAAAAAAAAAAAGAAAGAGAAATCTCAAGCAAACACTATAATAAAATTATTCATGGCCGAAACAATTATGGGAAGTTACTTGATGACCAACTTATGAAACTGTGACTAGGGCATTAAATGAATTTGTGGCCAGATGTGGAACTGTACATAGAATGTACATTTCAGTCTTTGGCATGAGGAAATTACTAAACTCCCAACTGGCTGACTGCTTTATTTGTATAATTTGACACCCAGTACAATCAGATAAAATCTGAAAGCTGCAGGACTGTACTGTACAGTACAATAAAAAAAATTATAGTACTCTATAGACAAAAAAGGACATTGAAGTTCTGTAAACAAGTGTATGTGACTTTATAAAAAACAACAGTTATAAATCCAGTCAGTAGTTCGTAAGTCTTAACAGCACATGTGAGCATAAGTCTAAAAAGGTCATAAGAAGAGGACTATTTGTAGAGGACACTAAAGTGGGCAGATGTTTGAAGGAAGTGGGTTATTTATGTAATCTCAAACAAACTCCCAATGGTAGTTACTAGTTATAAAGTGTAAAACAGGAACCATTAGACCCCACAGTAAACAATGGAGCAGTAGAAATCACCACTATTAGCACTTGGTGACACTCTGCCTGTTCACAGGCTGCATTTGGAGGAGAGTGCTCTCTCCCTAAGATGTACTTGCCAAAATGTATAACCTTATTTTAGGAAGAAAAAGCTGGGCAGACAAAGGTGGATACTGTACCAAAAGGTAAAGAAACCTAAAGAGAGACTGGAGGATGCTTTGGGGCCATGACGGTTAAAGACAATGTAGGGTCATGGGTTGGATTCTGGAATAGAAAAGGATTGTGGGCAAACACGTGAAATCCAGGTGAATTCTTATTTATACTAATAGTGTATAAATATCAGTTTCCTAATTTCATTGTTTTGTGGGGTGCGTCATAGGTACAGCTAACAGGCAGGTGAACGGTTTACATGAAACTTATTTTTGTATCATTTTTAAAAAAAAATTTATTTATTTATGTGTGTGTGGCCAGCTCAGCCCACCAGGGGGCGGGGCTGGCTGGCATGTGGTGCTGGGGGATTGAACCGCGGTCCCTGTGCTTTGCTAAGCTTGTTCTAAGTAGGTGCTTTAGGCCACTGAGCCATCTCACCAGCCCCTATTTGTATATCATTTGCCTTACTAAAAAAAAATGATTTGAACAGCGAAGTTAAGATAAAACATATGTGAAGTATTTCCTGTAGGAAGCATACTTGGATATTATGAGCCCATTTTAGATCTAGTGTGATAATAGCCTTTTAATTGATTAGTAACATGGATTTAACTTTTTAAATATTTATTTATTTGGTACAGGATCTCAATACATAGCTTGGACTGTAGTGATCCCACTGTCTCAGCGTCTCCAGTGCTGGGATTACAGGCATGTGCCATCACACCCTGTTTTGGTGACCAGCATAGCACGCCTGGAGTTCTGGGGCCTGCATGGCATGCAGGATGAAGGGTCAAAACTG